GCCACAAAGGGAGGTAGTCTCTCACTGCCCCGGGTTCCATTCCTGTTAACTTAGAGAACACAGGTGGACCGGGCCTGTGTCATAGCTAAGAGGTGATCACTGAGCATCAGAATTTGGGTCAGGCCACCAGAGACAGAGATCAATTCACCTCAGAAATAAGAAGGGCATTGACTAGGGTGGGTTAACAGAATTCATGACACAATCCCCGCACAGGCATGGCCCTGCCACACGGGCCTGGGAGAGGCAGTTCAGGCTGCACAGAAGGCCCTGGCTGTGCACATTCCCCCAAGAATGGACTGACAGACGAGCACACGAGAAACGCCCTCCATCCCCCACGGACGAATGTTCCAACTGTTCTACACGGGCTACCCGGGACGTGTTCCAGGCACTACTTCTGAATTACCAAACCCCAAAAGAAGTTGAGAAGTCTCTTTTCAAGTCAGAACAAGGATGGGGGATGAGAAGTTTGAAAGTCCTGCTATCGTTTGAGGACTAATCAAACTAACACCCCCTGACATGCAGCACCTTGTTCACACGGTACAATCACACGGTAAGATAGGAACGGATACCCACTCTCAAAGTAGTATGGGTCCCTAGGGCCGTGGCCATGCAGCCAGGATGTGGCAAAGCCAAACTGGCTGGCTCCCCCTAACCACTAACCTCATACCTGCCACTCAGAGGCATTTTCAGAGGACAGAGAAATAAGACATGTTGACGTACATCTTATAAGGATGTCTTCAGTGAATTCAAACGCAGAGATGAGTCTTAGCATACCAAACAAAATCCCTTAGATAGACTCCCCTGGGGATAGATCAGGGCTTAACAAACATTTGGGAGGGGGGGCGCCTGGGTGGCTCAGTCAGGTTGGACTGACTCTTGGCTTTGGCTTGGGTTGTCGTCTCATGGTTCTTGGGTTTGAGCCTTGAGTTGGGCTCTGTGTTTGTGGTGAGGAGCTTGCTTGGGATTTTCCCACTCCTCTCTCTCTGCTCCTCCCCTACTCCCTCTCTCACAAAATAAATAAACTTTAAAAAAAAAAAAGAAAAAACATTTTTGGTAAAGGAGCAGACAGTAAACCTTTTAGGCTTTAGTCCCTGAGGCAACTACTCAACTCTGCCATTGTAATGCAAAAACCCCTAGAGGACAAACCGAGAGACAAGGAGGATTCCAAAGGCTTTACAAATAAGAACAGGATGCTATGACCCACAGTGAGCTTGCTGACCATAGCTCAGACCCTGGAAGTCCTGGGAAACTGTGGAGTCAAGGAGGGACACTCCAATGAGTGTTTCAGACTGAATCATGGGGACTACTGAAAGATGGAGTCAGCAGGTTTTAGGTGTCCCGCAAAATAAATCCTGTTTTACCATGTTTCTCTGTTACTACAGTTGTTATCAATAATTGGGAGTGGTTCTGTTTCAGTAAAAGTTGATTTACTCAAACTGACAGAAGTCCGAATTTGACCCACAGGGAATAGTTTGCTGAACTCTTCAGCTCTAGGACCTCAAGCCAGGGATTCTAAAAAAATCAGTAATAATCTAAAGTTAGCTATTACGATTCCTCAAATACCTTCCAGGGCTACTGAAGACACGTTTGTAGCATACTGAGAGCCTCTGATGATGCCAATATGGGGATGGGAGAAAGAGGGTGGTTTTCTTTTCTGGTCTATTAATGGGATTACTTCGTAGTGGGCACAGATCCCAGCCATAAAGGATCAGTTCTTCATTCTCTCAGAGCAGACGTCTAGCCAGCGCTCTGTACACGGGCTGCATCTGTGGCCGAAAAAGAGATTGCAAACCCATGTCTCATGCGTCTTCATCCCCACTCCACCAATCCAACTAAACCACTGAACATCCTACAGTCCCTGCATCTTTTTTCATGTGTTTTTTTTTTTTTAAGTTTATTTGTTTATTTTTAGAGAGAGAGAGAGAGGGAGACAGACAAACAAGGAGCGAGCAAGGGAAGGGCAGAGAGAGGAGAGAGAGAGAATACCAAACAGGCTCCACGCTGTCAGTGCAGAACCCTATGGGGGGCTCGAAGTCATGAACCGTGAGATCATGACCTGGGCCAAAATGAAGAGTCACACGCTTAACTGACTGAGCCACCCAGGCTCCCCGGCATCATCTTCTGACATCAACCACCAGAGCTGCCTGGCTGTTGATGTGCCCACAACTGGTACTGATGGATTTCCAGGGGAAGCACACATCAGCAGAATGGCTCTCCAGCTTTCTATGACTGGCCCTGGACTATATCGCCTTGCTAAATCCCAGTTGTTGGTGCCCAGAACTGAGAAATGGAGAAAGCTAAGCTGTCCAATTTTAAGTGACAGGAACCAGGTATCTGCTTGAAAACTTCCATAAGATGCTGTTAGTGTTTGCTGTTTCACTCTTACTGCAGTGATTCTCCAAGGTGGGGAGGGAGGCAATTTTGCCCCCCATGTCTACACACATTTTTGGTGGTTACAACCAGGGGGGGTGCTACTGGCATCTAGTGGGTAGGGCCACCCGAGATGCTGCTCAACATCCTGCATGAACGAACAATCCCCACAACAAAGAATTATCTAGCTCCACATGCCACAAGTGCCCAGGTGACAAACTGTTTTAGTGGGATTTCGCCACATGATGATCCAATGCCTCAAGCGCACAGGCACAGTCCAATTAAATTCCACAAACTCAGCTCCAAAGACCACTTTGATTGACACGCCTAGCTGATGAGATGAAAAGAGAAAAACAGCAGTGTGTGTTGCATTTGCCGACAGGGCCTGTTTGTTTGTTTCTTTGTTGTTTTTGAGAAAAAGAAAAATTACTTTGCTAAGGTTTATCTGTGAAAGGAAATTGGAATCAATTTTCATAGTATCTTTGAGCTCCAAACTCCTATGTTTATAAGCATATAATGTGGGGCTGAGGTTCTAACAGACTACTCTGGGGTTCTGGTAACTTTCTACAACACATGAGGTCTGTGAGGTTGAAAGCTAAGACCAGATCACTACCCTTTAGAAAACCGAGGAAGCCTAGCCTAGGAAGATGTTCAGCAGCAAACAAGAAATAAAAACATTCAAAACAACTAGGAAAATTTTAATTCTATAAATTTATCATTTATGGGTTTTCTTCTTTCCCACGGAAAAAGTGTGACAGATTGAGATAAACAGAAGGAGGAAATTACAAAGGAACTATCCCCTATTCCCCAAAATATTTAACACGGAATGTACCGAACAGAAACCTGAAAGAGGTGTCTATTTTACTTGTTACATGGACTTGTTACACATGAGTGACACTAATGGTGACGATTTGCTTTACTTATTCGTTCTGATGGCTTACCTACAATATTTGGGAAATACAGAAGACCGAAGTCCATGATTTATTTAAAAATCCACTCTGAAAAACTACCTAGTTGTTTTTCAGTGCGGACTCTCAAAATGGAGTCTCATTTTTTAATCCATCATATCAAAAAAAGGTGGCATTTATTCAGGCATATTGAGAGCCCATGCCTATTGACATTGCCAAATCCAACAGATTAAAAGCAGACAGCGTGATTATTCCAACAGTAGGCACTACTGACAGTGTTCAGTAGGCAGTGAAAAAGAAATTTCCACATTCTACACGTTAAAAGCAACCATTTTCTCCTTACCAAAACATATAGCTGAAATTTAAAAGTAACCACATTTCCTGGATCCTTTCAAAAAGAAAAACAAATTATGTCAAATTAAGTATAACTTCCTGTGTTTGAATTCAAGCTTCAAAATGCTGCTATACATTTTCAGGAAATCACCATTTGAACTTCATATACTTTAGAGTCTGTAACTGCGGTGTCACAATGTATAACAGCAAACCTTTCCACCTCAGCCAAATCCATTCTTGCATCTCATTTATATTACACCTCTGGGTCCCAAACCCTGAGGGCACTAAGGTCTGCATTCAGTGACTAGACTTGTTAATGAGCAAGAATGACAGGACATCTTCTATGGAGTAAGTCCATTCTCATCCTTGGTGATCATAGGCGAGCTGGGAGATAGGCGCTCCACGACGTCCTACGATCCAAATTTCATCTACAATTTTTGTTTGTATTGTGTATGTATGCTTTTTTTCAAGTATTTTGCATATATCCATATACACATATTTTTGTGCATATACATAAAATATCAGAAAAATATACAGTGACATGTTAATTGTGGTTAGTTCCTAGAGTAGGTTTATATGTGATTTTCTTTATTCTTGGGTTTCTCTTTTGCATGTCTACAGCTTCCAAAGTTTTCTATATTAAGCATAACTTTTGCCAAAAGAAAAATAAATAATATTCTGTATGTATTTTTTTCCCCTCAACCTCATTTCTAGAAGAGTTTTTAGGTACCCAACAAAAAAAAGCAACGTGCACAAAAAGACTTCTTTCGAAATAAGGGCCATGAGAGGCAAGGGCAAGAAACAAGAGCAGGCAACACTGAAGACGCTGAAGACTAAAGCTATTAGCCAGCACATAAGACCAAGTGTCCTACATACCAGCCAGAGGGAGGCACACATTGGACTCTGAGTTTCTCATCCCCCCCCCCGCACCCCCCCTGTCCTTACCTCACCCTCCTCCCCTAGTCCTCCTTCGACCCTGCATTCCTCCCCACCCTCTGTACCTTACCACCACACAGCCTTAATTAAGTTTTGTTTAGGGAAAGATAACAAGAATATTTTTCTACATTCCCTGATCATACTCCCAGATGAGATCATGCAATCCAGAAATGTGCTGCAGGAAAGGGAGCTAGCTGCACATACAACCAACTGAGTGCTACTGCTCTGCCCCCACTGGTCCTAGGACTGAGTGTCAGTGTGCACAAGAACTCAGTCTCCCCAAGGACATGGCTTTAACTTTCTAAAAGTGTCCCTCTGTGTGCAACTCCCTGCCACGAAGGCAGTGGCAAGGGAGGCACTCAATCCACGATAAAAACCAAGGCTGCAAGCCTCTGGAGTCACTTTGAGGCAAAGCCACATCCCATCGAGAAGCCCCAGAAGCACCGCGCTTACCGTAAGCTGTCATGACACCGGCGTATGGCCCATCCACCACATTCCGGTTTTCTTCTGCCAGCGCCTTGATGTACCTCTTGCTGAGGTCCAAGATCTGCTCACGCAGCATGGAGCTGCTCTCAGGCTGAGTTCGCTGCTGGATGGTAAAATGCAGGAGCATCATACCCCAGATAAAGCCAAAAGTCACAAGGAAAAAGCCCAGCTTCTGAGAGGACAACTTCCACGGAGTAAAGAAAGCCATTGCTCTCCAGCAACTTCACCTGCCCTTGGCTCTTAAAGCGCAGAAGGGAGACACAAGTTCATGGTGCAGGCTGGGTTTGTGGGCACGTCGGTCTCACTCCGGCTCCTGCGTCAGCTGATTTCCTTTCCTCATTTCCATTCTGCTGTGAAGAAGGGGGAAAGTTAGTAGAGTGGTCGTGGCCAAACACAGTGAAACAAACCAGAAGCCACGTTTTCACTCAATTGGCTCCAAAATGCAAACTTCCTTTTTTCTTCATTTGCTGGTTCAATATCTTATGTTATGATTCCAGATCTGTAAGCTGAGAGGGGAAATCTGGCTAGGCGACAAAAGCTGCACAAATACAGAGGAGGAAATGTGTGTCTGACTATGTTAACAGGTGTAGCAGGGCTGTTCCAGTCTGGACCAAGTTCAAAAACAGGAAGCCTGTTTTACAAGGTGGGGAGGAGATGGAAGGGTATTCTACTGAATGTCAGCAAAAACCCAAGTGGAGGGCAGAGCCCTATCAACATGGGGTAGTCGTGTGCATCTGTAAATTGAGCTTACAAAGTCATTAGTATGTGCTCTGGCAAAGATTTGAGCATGCTGCTGGAGAGGTGAGCAAGAAAGTGGGTGCCTCCTCAGGGGGCTAGACCAGGAAAGGGGAGAAAGTCCCCGTATTACATAAGTGTGCCCAGCTCTCATTAGCAGTGTCCAGAGAGAGAGGAGTTGGATCTCTCAGGAACCACCAGGTGGCCTCTCCCTGGGCACCAGCGCAGAGAAGCTATGCCAGGGTGCCCGGTGATCTTCCTGTTTTAGCTACCATGAGTGAAAGAGGCACCTCGGCACTCATTTGCATACTTCAACTCAGAAAATATGGAGCACGTGATTAAGACTCCTTTCCTGTAACTCTCACTTTCACTCACACCATGCAGCAAAATGTGAGGTACAAAGGCACAGTTTCGATCCTGATCAGGCAGATCCTATTTGGTGCCCTATTCGGGCCAAGGTCTTAAATCAGTCTTCCTAAAAAAATGAGGCTCAAGTAGAGGTTGTAAATGGGTTATAAGTAGGCCAAACTCTCCAACCCCTCAATCAGAGTCTTGGGCCCAAGGACCAGCCAGCTTACAAATGGAACCATTTTCAGGGCGCCTGGGTGGCGCAGTCGGTTGAGCGTCCGACTTCAGCCAGGTCACGATCTCGCGGTCCGTGAGTTCGAGCCCCGCGTCGGGCTCTGGCCTGATGGCTCAGAGCCTGGAGCCTGTTTCCGATTCTGTGTCTCCTTCTCTCTCTGCCCCTCCCCCGTTCATGCTCTGTCTGTCTCTCTCTGTCCCAAAAATAAATAAACGTTGAAAAAAAAAATTTAAAAAACAAAAATAAAAAAAACAAATGGAACCATTTTCTAAGTGTGCCAAGGGAAAAGCTGAGCAGTGACCTCCTATGGGGTACTAACCCAGGATGTATTCAGAGTGTGCATTATGTTTTAGTTCAAAGCATTCTTCTTTGTAGGCCATCTAAGAAGAAATGATGGTGAGCTCTTGGAGCATTTGGCTTTCAGGATCTATAATACGGTAGATCTGTGTGGGTCTTCCTTTTCACTGTTTCCTCACCTGCGAACAGCCATTAGTAGCTTGTAGTATCACTGCCAACAGCAACTGATAAATAAATTCTAGGTATGTCCCAGGGAGTGGGATAAATGCTTTTTGTGCCTTAGTTCACTAAATTGTTAGAAGAGTCCTACATGGTAAAAATTACTAATATCATCTGTTTTAGAGATGAAGAAACAAAGGCACAGAGAGATGGACTTGCCAAAGGTCACCAGCTATGAGGCAGAAGGATAAGCTAGGGACAGCCTAGGATAGTACAGCCTGTCCCACCATGCCCTGTCTCCCCTATGCCACCCCTCTTTCCCCACCAGCCTGTTTATCTGTGGCCAACATCTGTTTGTACACATGCTTAAAGGGTTGTAAAAAGCAACAAAGAAAATGTGACAGAAATCCTATGTAGCTCAGAAGCCTAAAACACTTACTACTGGCCCTTAACAGAGCAAGATTACCACCCTCTGAATTCTAGGCAACTGGCTCTGCAAAGCATGGTCCCTAACTCCACAGCAGAAGCACCAGTGAGAAATGCAAATGCCCAGGCCCCAACGCAGACCTACTTAATCAGCAACTCTGGAGGGTGGGTGAGGGGCAGGCAGCAATCAGTGCTTCAACAAGTCTCCCAGGCGACTTTGATGCCTACTCAAGTCTGAGAGCCTCTGACCCAGGCAGATGGATGTCACCTCTATGCTATACCACTGCACTGTCTATACAGTGTGGCTCAAACTCCCTTTTGCAATACTGTAACACTTCAATTCTTCCATCCCAGGCACACCCCCTGCACCTGCTGGTCAGTTATCACCACAACCCCACACCATAACTCCTTCTCCAAGGTCTCCCCGTATTCACTCAAGCTGCTCTCCCTACCTGGCTGGCCCTCTGCAGATCACACTGATAAATCCAAACCTGGTCTGTTCCCCAAGCCCCAACTCTGGTCACAATGGCTTCAGACAGCCCTTCAGACAGCCCATAAGGTCCCTTGCTAGTCTTCAGTTTAAACACTTGTCTGTTAGGGCGCTTGGGTGGCTTAGTTAAGCATCTCTTTTTTTAAATTTTTTAATGTTTATTTATTTTTGAGAGAGAGAGAAAGACACAGAGCATGAGCAGGGGAGGGACAGAGAGAGAGGGGAAGACACAGAATCTGAAGCAGGCTCCAGGCTCTGAGCTGTCAGCACAGAGCCCGAAGAAGCATCTGACTCTTAGATCATGACTCAGGTCATGATCTCAGGGTCATGAGACTGAGCTCCGCATTGGGCTCTGTGCTGACTGTGGAGTCTGCTTAAGATTCTCTCTACCCCTCCATGTGTGTAGTCTCTCTCTTAAATAAAAAGTAAAATAAACACTTGTCTATATAGATTATTTGCCAGTTTCACCTGAGTGGGATCCCATGACATCCTCTAAGGGACCCTCCCTCCATGTGCATTCTCAGAGAAAGACACCAGCCCCAGGGGCACAATACACCACCTGCTGCCCAGCGAACTTGTCCTCCAGGCACTCTGGCACTTTATTTAGCCCTTCCTTTTCTTTCTTTTTTTTTTTTTTTTTTTTTTAAATATATTTATTTTGAGAGAGTGAGCAAGTAAGCGTGAGTAGAGAAGGGGAAGAGAAAGAGGGAAAGAGAGAGTTCCAAGCAGGCTCTGCACTGTTAGCCCGACATGAGGCTCAAACTCACCAACTGTGAGATCACCACCTGAGTCGAAACCAAGGGTCGGACGCCTAACTGGCTGAGCCACCCAGACGCCCCTATTCAGCCCTTCTAAATAAAGGTGAGCAGCACCTGCCTTTTCTTTCCTCCACTCCTTCTATGGTGGATCCTGAGCACTTCCTGCCACCGGTCCCCAGGGACTGAACAAGCAACACAAGAGAGATCTCAGCCTCATGGGGCTTCTGTTTTAAAGCCACCACTCGAACTGGGGGCTGCCCCTGGGTCCTTAGGAAGTGACTGCACTTCCTGTTTGATAACTCACAGCAGTGAGTCAACTGTACCCCAGGGCTGAAGGGATTTTCCTAGGGCAAGTACACTAGATGCTATACTAAAATGACAGTCATCTGGCAATCTTCTTTACTATTTTAAGGGGGAACCCCTAATGTATGAAAGAATTACCTGTTAACTTTTAGACACGCAACTCCACTCCACTTCATCAGTGAATCCCCTGAAGAAGCTGCTAAAGGCTGCAAAGTGGAAGCAAGGGCAAGGCCAGGTCCAAAAACTGAACAAGGGCCCCCAGTAGAAGGTGGCGTGCTTCTCTGCCTTGACCTTGGGAAGAGTCACAACTGCCCAGGTGGCACATTTGCAGGGCAAAAAAGGTGGTCGAGAAAGCCAGCCAAGGTTAAATGACACCAGCTCAGAGACATACAAATTGGGAGTGAAAATCCCCAATCCCAAACTCAGAGAATAGCTCTGATTATTGAGGGCCCAGATTTCAAGTAACCACAGAGCTGTCAGAATAGTCTCTTCTCCAGTGGAATCTACAGTGTGAAATAACAGCACCTATTCTAGCACAGCAACAGCACATGCAGAGAAGTGGATTAGAACTCATCTGTACAATTCCTACCAACATAGAATTTTAAAAACCTCTTCCAAATCATTATCTGGAAGACACCCCTAACTTCCACAGTAAAGGGAAGACAATAGGACAGCAAATCCTCACCAGAAGGTGCTGGAGCCATGAAAGGACTTAATGATCACCATCAGTAATGGCCACAAAATTCATCAAGAGGCTACAGAATAGTGATCGAAAAGCAGTCAATCCAGCAGAGAATCTGCCTGTCTCCAGACTTTCTAATGTAGGTAGAATCCTCTGGCAAAATGGAGCCAATAGACACTAAAAGGGCAGACAGTCTATCTCAGAAGCCCTTGTTGCCAACCTGAGTAATGCCAGCCCAAGGTCACGACTCCATGAAGAAGTCTGCACCAAGTGTGTTTGCAATGAGCTAAGCTTCTAGGTCCATCACTGCCACTCAATGCCCTAAGACCCATTTCTTCCATTCCTGTGCTTCAAAAATAGCAGCGTTCATTTCCTTCCTTCCCATTCACTCCTCCACACAATAAAATCTGGCTTCCACCTTTCCAAAACTGATCAAAGATCTTTGGCAAGGAAATATGTCAGTTCTCTTCATTTAAAAAGTAAAAGCATATGAAAAGATGAGAAAAATCATTAGCCATTAGGGAAATGTAAATTAAAACCACAATGAGATACCAATTCATACCCACTAGAATGGCTATAATCCAAAAAGATAGACAAGAACGAGTACTGGTGAAGGTGTACAGAAATCGGAACCTTTATATATTATGAGTGGGAATGTACAACCGTGTAGCTGGTGTGGAAAATATTCTGGCACTTCCTCAAAGGGTTAACCACAGAATTACCATGTGACCCAGATAACTGCGCTCCTAAAATTCTCCCTGAAGAAATTAAAGTATATGCCCATACATAAAAACTTGTACACAAACATTCACAACAACCTTGTTCATAATAGACCAGAAAACCCCCCAAAACTCAAAAGTCCCTCAACCAACAAATAGATGAGAAAAATACATATAATGGAATACTACTAAATCAGT